CTAACATATGAAGCTACGTTATGTACAGCCTCCTTACCAGACTCTCGTGGTGGGTACAGTCCCCCCCCCCCTCTAACATATGAAGCTACGTTATGTACAGCCTCCTTACCAGACTCTCGTGGTGGGAACAGTCACCCCCCCACCCTAACATATGAAGCTACGTTATGTACAGCCTCCTTACCAGACTCTCGTGGTGGGAACAGTCACCCCCCCCCTCTAACATATGAAGCTACGTTATGTACAGCCTCCTTACCAGACTCTCGTGGTGGGAACAGTCACCCCCCCACCCTAACATATGAAGCTACGTTATGTACAGCCTCCTTACCAGACTCTCGTGGTGGGTACAGTCGTCATTGTCCTTGTTGGTACAGTACATAGGTCTGTGACCCATCGTCATAATCCACGGAGTTTTCGCACGATTCTTTGAGGCTTTCTGTAAACAGTAAGAAAAATAATGGCATTGCATTGAGTTCAGATTTTTTTTCATAGACAAAATGTTTGCATATATTCAGAAAGAGACTTAAGTAAAAAAATAAATCTTCAAGAGGTTGATATCCTATAAAAATTCTAAAAGAAAGTGTCTCATTTCTACACTGATCTTGATGTTTGTCTAAGTATCAGTGTTACCTCCAAGTCCTGTTCCAGCCAGTGGTATTGGTTAAATATCTGTTCAAATCCAAACTGCAGGAAAAACAGGTACTCAGTGGAAAAGGATATCACATGTATGGGACCCATGTCAAAACTGTAACACAAATTAAATTTACAGTATTATGATTGTCTTCTAATGAAAATTAAACAACAGAGGTCATTTACAATAAATCAACATCCCACAGTCTATTAACAATAAATCAACATCGCACAGTCCATTAACAATAAATCAACATCTCACAGTCCATTTACAAAAAATCAACATCTCACAGTCTATTAACAATATATCAACATCTCACAGTCCATTAACAATATATCAACATCCCACAGTCCATTAACAATATATCAACATCCCTTAGTCCATTAACAATAAATCAACATCTCCCAGTCCATTAACAATAAATCAACATCCCACAGTCTATTAACAATAAATCAACATCCCACAGTACATTAACAATAAATCAACATCCCACAGTGTCTTCTAATGAAAATTAAACAACAGAGGTCATTTACAATAAATCAACATCCCACAGTCCATTTACAATATATCAACATCCCTTAGTCCATTAACAATTAATCAACATCCCACAGTCCATTTACAATAAATCAACATCCCAGAGTCCATTAACAATATATCAACATCCCTTAGTCCATTAACAATTAATCAACATCCCACAGTCCATTTACAATAAATCAACATCCCAGAGTCAATTAACAATATATCAACATCCCACAGTGAATTAACAATAAATCAACATCTCACAGTCCATTTACAAAAAATCAACATCTCACAGTCTATTAACAATATATCAACATCTCACAGTCCATTTACAATATATCAACATCCCTTAGTCCATTAACAATAAATCAACATCTCCCAGTCCATTAACAATAAATCAACATCTCCCAGTCCATTAACAATAAATCAACATCTCATAGTCCATTAACAATAAATCAACATCCCTTAGTCCATTAACAATTAATCAACATCCCACAGTCCATTTACAATAAATCAACATCCCAGAGTCAATTAACAATATATCAACATCCCACAGTCCATTAACAATTAATCAACATCTCACAGTCCATTTACAGTAAATCAACATCCCACAGCCCATTAACAATAAATCAACATCTCACAGTCTATTAACAATATATCAACATCTCACAGTCCATTTACAATAAATCAACATTCCACAGTCTATTAACAATAACTCAACATCCCGCAGTCCATTAACAATATATCAACATCTCACAGCCCATTAACAATATATCAACATCCCACAGTGAATTAACAATAAATCAACATCTCACAGTCTATTAACAATATATCAACATCTCACAGTCCATTAACAATATATCAACATCCCACAGTCCATTTACAATAAATCAACATCCCACAGTCCATTTACAATAAATCAACATCCCAGAGTCCATTAACAATATATCAACATCCCACAGTGAATTAACAATAAATCAACATCTCACAGTCCATTAACAATAAATCAAGATCCCACAGTCCATTAACAATAAATCAACGTCCCACAGTCCCTTAACAATAAATCAACATCCCACAGTCCATTAACAATAAATCAACGTCCCACAGTCCATTAATAACAAATCAATAAATCAACAAAACATGTGATAGTAAATTTGATAAACAAGTTAAAAATGGAGATGAACATCTCCTTTCTGTATGATCAAGTGTCTTGCCTGTAAAACATTCGGTCACCAAGTTCATCTGTCGGCATGGTGAATCGGTTCTTGTAGTTAGAAAAGTTCCTATAAATGAAGATATACAGCAATATAAGATATACAGCTCCTACTGACATAACATGATAACATTGACACCTGGAACTGGTAGCTATAAAATCACACCTATTATTCTTGACTGTAAGATTATACTGGGTAAACACTTGTAGTTTACTGTGCTGACTATTCCGTCTTTGCGTATTGCAAGTTATCTACTCTTGTGAGCAGGTATTGATTGTTATGTCATTAGTTTGTGTGGGAAAATAACGTTGTTTTCTCAAAAATTGATGACGTTACTCTCACAAACAAATGACGTAACAATCAATACCTGCTCACAAGAGCAGATAACTCTGCAATACGAAAAGACGGAATAGAGTAATGTTCAATACTATGACAAACTCATCTGGTATAGAATTTAGATACCATAGAAACATTTCAGAAAGGGGTTCATTAGAATGTTTTTGCATTAAAATAAAATGAGGTCCACAATCATCTGCGTTGTTAAAAAGTCTTTTTGTTATTGGGTATAAAGAAAAATCATCATGTATTGAAAACATGAGAGTACATTTAAGTGTAATGTTCTGGAGTGACAAACATAATTTATGTATGGCAGGTCTACGTTTCCATCAGAAAAATAAAATAAAAAATTATAAGTCTTCTCAATTATACCGGTTACAGTATTAATATATTACCTAATGATTTGATTTGTATGTGCTTTATGTCCTATTTACAGCTATGGTCATTTAATATAAGGACATGCCAGGACTTGGTTGTGGGGAAAGCAGAGTACCAAGAGAAAAACCAAAGACCTGTGGTCAGTACCTTGGCAACTGCCCAATGTAGGCCTAGAACCTGCTACCAAGTGGTGGAGAGCTAGTGATTGTAGATGGTCAGATGCCTTAATCACTCAGCCACCCTGGCCCCCTAAGCATCTAATGAGATTTAAACCCTGGCCAAAATAACAGCTGGAAAACAAAGGATGATAACCCTGTAGGGCATGAACCATGTTAACAGTAGGACATGAACCATGTAAACACTAGGGCATGAATCATGTAAACAGTTGGGCATGAACCATGTTAACAGTGGGGCATGAACCATGTTAACAGTGGGGCATGAACCATGTTAACAGTGGGGCATGAACCCAATTTAGGCATGTGGCTTTCTGCCATCCAAGAGACACTGACCAGTGCATACAGAATATGGAGTTTTAAGTGACAGTATATAAGATATGCCCTGCAACAATTATATTTTCAACTTTCTTTAACACTTGAACTTATCCAAGTTTATAAAAATGTAAGTAACATCGCAAAATGCACACTCTAATTAGGGCTTGTAGGTATGAAGGTTGTGGAGAGTGTATACCACCATTAAGGCTCCCCTCCCCATCACCTACCCTTTCTCCTCGTGGTTACCAGGGCATGTCATGTAAGGCACATGTGCAGCAATAGGCTGAATGTTCTTCATAAAGCTGTCACCAACATTACCATTATCCTGTGGATATAAACATGTCACTATAGTTAGAATGTAAAAATAACAATGTTTCCAATATACACTATCTCCCTGTCATATCATCTCAGAACTGATGTGACCTCTGATGAAGGTCCGAAAGTGGTTTACACAACTTATGTTTATCAATGTAAGGAGAGGGGTTCAAGTCACCCACAGCTGTTTCAGTGGGTATTCATTTGGCTGACTAGTTTCAACTATTTGTGATTAGAACTGCCCCCTCCTTCAATTTATATATTTGATACCGATCACCCTGCATATTGCTGAAAACCGTCCCAGGCACACATAAATTAAGTTAAGGTATGATACACAATGAACATGGTTTCAGTTTATAGAGACTCTGGCTCATACCTAGGGCGCCAGATCCCGGAGGACCGGTAGGGCTCTATTGCTGAATACCATCGCATCCACCAATTCACACATTAAAATATGGTCCCAGTATACCCAGGGAGGCTGTACCAGGGTGGATTACTACTGATCCTCCCATTAATTGGTATATACTGAGATTCCAAGAGGTCTGGGGTCTCCTCCTCTGTGCCCCACTCTTACCGCACATACTACATACTTACAAAGAACATCAATAAGTGCATAATACACAAAATCAGTTGCGTCCCGTAGGAGGTCTACCTGTATGATCAAGCACCTCACAATACTAACCACTAATCACTAACACACAGTCCGTCGGATGGGACTTAAAATGGTGTCCCGTGTGAGAACGTCCACATCGTCGCATTAGACTTATGATAAGGGTTAGGTTAATTTTTAAGAATCTTAGACGGACTTCAAAAATTAGATTTAAATCAAATTCATCTTAGCTAGGGATAAACCGATTTGGCTGGTTTCAGGGTCTTCCTGGGGGTGCCTTCCCCCTGCTCTTCTCTAATACTGCGTCCAACATCTTGATGCGCTACGGGTAAACGTGGGTTATCATATTTTGGCCCAGGAGTCGTCTTGCAAAATTATGATATCCCCCGTGTAGGACCTATTGGACAAAGGACTTCTATTTTCTCAAACTCTACCCCCTCCCTTTCTCTACATTCTTTGTCCCTTCTATTCTAGCGGACGTAAAACCCTCAAAATCAAATAAAAAACCAACCCTGCATACCCATCAGTATCCATACATAGAGAGAATCACCACTCTGATTTACCAAACCAGCTATATAACTTACATGTCATTAGCTCCACTACAAGTTTTTTAACGATGCTACATGTTTTATTGTGATTTTTGTGTGTTTGTGCATACAACACAATGGTTAACACTATTTCAGTGTAGTGTAATGGAGGCCTAACTACACAAACCTTGTACACATCTTACCTAGGTATCCTAAAATAACAAATAACGCTAGCTACATATAACTTAAACTGATTCTGCAAAAGTAAGAATGAAGTCTCCACTAACATTATTATTCAGTAATGAAATATTACATAGTCCACTGATTATACCAAGTAATTAGGTGAAGGATTAAAAAAGGGAGATTGTACTAAAGAGTGCAAAACTTTTTTTATTATCAGAAAATAATTCAACTTTGGCTAATCCCCTAATGGTAGACTCTGTCAGGTAAAATTATATAACTTAAAATACAGACAACACAGAAAGTGATGACGTCGTATAAACATTGCAGTATATATACTGCAATGTTTGGTGCAGTGTTTGGAATTCTAATATCTGTTTGGTTGAAGTTGCTTGGCGATGAAATTCCGGTACAACATTGTGTTTTGTGCAGAATTATTTTGTTTTTATCTGTTTAAATCAAATTATGTGCATTTTTGTGGATAAACGCTTCGCTGATTTATGCCAAGTTCCCCCCTTTTTTTTCCCGGTGTATACATGTACCATATAACCCCCAAAATAATCCAGGTTATTCCTCGACTAATTATATAATATCTTGGACTCAATATTAGTGATTGTATTAATCTTTGAAACATGTAAAAAAATTGCAGAACTTTTACTATTGAGTTTATACCAGATCTTGACACTTACCGAGTCCATGTCATAGGCAAAGTCCCCTGTCAAAACACAAAACAGTACTAGTAATAACAGACAAAGTCCCCTGTCAAAACACAAAACGGTACTAGTAATAACAGGCAAAGTCCCCTGTCAAAACACAAAACAGTACCAATAATAACGGCTTCTCACACACTGGGCTAGATTTTATTTGTAACAAAACAATTCTGTGATATCTTCCAGTTCAAACTTTTTTAATGAAGTTATCCTTTGAATAAAAAGAAATACACTTTTTATGTATTGTCTGAACAGTTTCCTCAAGTAGTGCTATTATAGCATATAGTTATAGTAGTATCACTTGTTTAATGGAAAATATTTTCATCTGATTAGAAAAATAAATTATAGAATGAAACATTTTCACCGTTTTCACTCAAGCTTGGCTCTAATGTTAAACGTCAAAGTGTGATTTAAATGGTTCATGTATTTACAATGTAACTCAGACTTATCTCTACTACACTGCTGGGTTGCTACAACCATATAGATCACAATGATGTCATATTGACAACAATCATATCATAATATGGAATATAGACTACCGAATGGTTATAATAATGATAAAACAAAGGCCACAATGAAATGCCTTAACTATAATCAGTTGAGCGTAAGAACTGCCCCAGTGATGACACATATCAGTAACATTACTCTTGCAGTTGTTGAGTAATACTGCAATATTCTGAATCTATGATTACAGCAAATTGCTTCCTGTCACTGTAAATGTTTTTAAATTCGGAGACCAAAACTTCGCCAATGCTTACCTACGTGGAAGATGGAATCGTACATGCCATTCCGCACTTCTTTCTCCAGTCTGGTAAGTGACTGGGCGTTGGTCTTGCCCATGTCCCCAAACAGGGCTATAGATGGACTCCAGGCAGGGTCAGTCCTCTTGGACATGAAGTCAAACTGAGAACTCATCTGGGTTCCATCACCACAACTGTAGACTAGAAATAACAACACAGTCAATTTATAGAATATCCCATTACCACAACTGTAGACTAGAAATAACCCAGCCAATTTATAGAATATCCCATCGCCACAACTGTAGACTAGAAATAACCCAGCCAATTTATAGAATATCCCATGACCACAACTGTAGACTAGAAACAACACAGCCAATTTATAGAATATCCGATGACCACAACTGTAGACTAGAAACAACACAGCCAATTTATAGAATATCCGATGACCACAACTGTAGACTAGAAACAACACAGCCAATTTATAGAATATCCCATCACCACAACTGTAGACTAGAAATAACAACAAAGCCAATTTATAGAATATCCCATCACCACAACTGTAGACTAGAAACATGTATACCAACACAGCCAAGGACCTACAATGTAGTCCCAGACTTTAGGTTAACCACTGTGGTTACATTTGAAAATATACATGTACTTATATGATTACAGTACTTAAAATTGACCAGTCTTGTTGTGTGTGTGTTCCATGTAATGTAGTACCAGACTTGAGGTTAACCACTGTAGTTATGTGTATGTACTGGGTGATGTAGACCCCAACTTGAGGTTAACCACTGTAGTTCTGTGTATGTACTGGGTGATGTAGACCCAGACTTGAGGTTAACCACTGTAGTTCTGTGAATGTTCTAGGTGATGTAGACCCAGACTTGAGTCTAACCTTGTAGTTCTGTGTATGTACTGGGTGATGTAGGCCCCGACTTGAGGTTAACCACTGTAGTTCTGTGTATGTACAAGGTGATGTAGACCCAGACTTGAGTCTAACCTTGTAGTTCTTTGAATGTACTGGGTGATGTAGACCCAGACTTGAGGTTAACCACTGTAGTTCTGTGTATGTACAAGGTGATGTAGACCCAGACTTGAGTCTAACCTTGTAGTTCTGCGTATGTACTGGGTGATGTAGACCCAGACTTGAGTCTAACCATGTAGTTCTGTGTATGTACTGGGTGATGTAGACCCCGACTTGAGGTTAACCAATGTAGTTCTGTGTATGTACTAGGTTATGTAAACCCCGACTTGAGGTTAACCACTGTAGTTCTGTGTATGTACAAGGTGATGTAGACCCAGACTTGAGTCTAACCTTGTAGTTCTTTGTATGTACTGGGTGATGTAGACCCAGACTTGAGGTTAACCAATGTAGCTCTGTGTATGTACTAGGTGATGTAAACCCCGACTTGAGGTTAACCACTGTAGTTCTGTGTATGTACTGGGTGATGTAGACCCAGACTTGAGTCTAACAACTGTAGTTCTGTGTATGTACTAGGTGATGTAGAGCCAGACTTGAGGTTAACCAATGTAGTTCTGTGTATGTACTAGGGGATGTAGACCCAGACTTGAGTCTAACCTTGTAGTTCTGCGTATGTACTGGGTGATGTAGACCCAGACTTGAGTCTAACCTTGTAGTTCTGTGTATGTACTGGGTGATGTAGACCCAGACTTGAGGTTAACCACTGTAGTTTTGTGTATGTACTAGGTGATGTAGACCCAGACTTGAGTCTAACCTTGTAGTTCTGCGTATGTACTGGGTGATGTAGACCCAGACTTGAGGTTAACCACTGTAGTTTTGTGTATGTACTAGGTGATGTAGACCCAGACTTGAGGTTAACCAATGTAGTTCTTTGTATGTACTGGGTGATGTACATGTAGACCCAGTCTTGAGTCTAACCTTGTAGTTCTGTGTGATACACTTACAGTACTTAGTCCCAGGCTTCAGGTCGACCAGTGTGGTTCTGTGTATGTACTGGGTGTGGTTTACGCTTGACCCCGAACTGGACTGAGTGAACTTTTTGGTGAATCCAGTAGCTTGAGAAGACAGTGTAGAGTCAAGTCCATACCGACACAAGGTTCCTTCTGAGGCATTTTGGGTACTCCATGTCACTACCATGCGACTGGGGTCAACTGCAGGACAAGAAAAGTTGAGGTTTACACATGTATGCTACTACAATATAGATCTCTGTTGTCAATGCAATGAAAATTCTCATTCATGATGGAGTAAATACATGTAGGTCAGAGGACACGCATTGAAATGTGACTGTTCAATTAAAATCTGCAACACTTCCACCCCCCCCCCCTTTATTTTTTAAATATTTGCCCTCAAACACCACTACAATCTAGGTTTTAACTCCCTGTCACCACAGGAAGGGCCATGGGCACTATTTGTTACAGGAAAGAGAGAAGTTTGCTTCCACTGGGGATTGAACCTGCAATTCCTAAGTTCCCGTAGTTATAGTCCTATAGGATGCCCTATCACTGAGCTTAAGGGAAATTCCTTCTAGCATGAAGCTAGAATCGAAGGCGACCGTAACCTGTGTTCAATTAAACCTGCCACATACTCCTTTAAAACACATAATTGTTTAGTTAAATTGATGAAAACTATGTGTAACCATGAAAAAAAAAATCTATCTCCCTACCCCTGACTTGAGTTGACTTGGGAAAGTTTTTTTTCTTGAACTCATTATCATTTGGAAATTGGTAAACCATAAGACTAATAAACAAGACTTTAAGGTTCATCTCCTAGCAGAGACATCGGAAATGACCTCTGTTACTGAAGTAAACCACAGGGGTAACCGGTTCGTTACAAATGTCTGAAATACACATACGCTACAGGTCCAGTACACTCTGCCGATTGAGCTATATAGCTGTATTGACCTATAATAGCTGTATTGACCTATCTGAAATAGGTCTTTTGAGCTAATTTCATGTGATTTTCTTTTTTAAGGAAAACGAAACAAAGTCGCTGTTAAAAGACGATTTTATCATAAGGTTGATAACAAAAGACATCAAATATAAGTATTCTTTTTTTATATTGGAACCTCGGCCTGGCAATTTATATATATATATATATTTAGTCTGATTCTGCCCCGTTCCTGTTATTGCAATTCTTTTATCAAATATATCTTATACCCGATAATGATACTTAAATGTATCTAATATATATATTCATTAATGTATATATAATAATTAATAGTTTTCTGCCCGTTCCTGCCCGTTCCTGTAAACCATCGAACCCCTAGTCACGGCATTTCGGTGATGTTTTCTGCACCAAATCGCATATTTCCAGATAGGATGTGACATATAGAAGTAAATAACATCTACAAAGGTGATATTTCACAGTAATAAAGAAGTATTTGATTCATAACTGGATCGTATGGGGTAGTATTGGGTGGTATGGGGTAGTATTGGGTAGTATTGGGTCATAGTCACGGCAATTCGGGGATGTTTTCGGCACCAAATCGCATATTTCCCGATAAAATATGGCAGATGAAAGTAAATAACGTCTACAAAGGTGATATTTCACAGTAATAAAGAAGTATTTGATTCATAACTGGGTCGTATGGGGTAGTATTGGGTTATTAGACGCGCCCGTCACAGTATGCTTATGTGTGCTGTGACCCATATCAGTATGTGTATTTCAGTCACCAACCTTACAGGCCTAATCAGGTAGGGAAAACCAATAACTTGCGTATAATACGCAAACTCGCCTATTATATGCCAAAAGGGGTATGGATTTGTTACTAAAAATAACCAAAATCACTTGAATCATAACTTTTTCAAATTGTTTGTCCATGTCGCATTCATTCAGTCATGAAACATAATACAAATGCAAAAATAAACTTTATTTACATGTCGGAAAGTACCAAAAATAGATGCAATACTTCTGGTAAAGTTACATCAAGTTTCTAATTATAAGTAGCCAATGGTTTCAGTAAACATTTTTTAGCAAAATATTATTTACCTTGTCGTAAATTAATGCGATTTTTGATCACGTCTTGCAAAAGATGCTGTTAAAGCGATTTTGGTTATTTTTAGCAACAAATCCATACTCCAACTGGCGTATAATAGGCGAGTTTGCGTATTAAACGCAAGTTGCGGTTTTCCCAAACCTGCTAATGGAAGCATATATTTTTAATCTGTACGTGTAGGCACCAACACTGTCCAACACTTGTCAAATGCTCTTATTTTGCAATTATGCGTTTATTGCGACATATTTTCACAGACTGCTTTGAACTGGCGGGTCCCCAGAGATAAACTGACCACGATGGACATTGGCCTGACCACCTCATCAATATTATGTAAACTTTCGTTAGGATAGATTTATTTTCAATAAACAGACCCTTAATTTGTATTGACTGCTTATATGATGTTAAAAAAGGTGTGTCTCAATAACAGCTCTGATGAGCTGTGGTTTACCGTTTACCTGTTCACGACGTAATACCTGTCGGTTTTTGTTTTGATCATGATTCGCACTTTTTCAAGACAAAGCGGACTAGATATACTTTACCTCCATAGGACAAGTGTATCTGCTCTGGGGAAGCTTTCTGTATCCCCACACAGATTCCAAAAAGACACAGCAGGCCTAAAGCTATAATGTTATTTGTTGTTATCATTTTGTCAAAATACAACAAACGAACAATCTACTTGTATAATTCAGCTGTAGCTATATATAGCTATAGCCTATACAGCTGATCTCGTGACTTACAATGGGGCCTTACTAAACTGCGAATAGGGCGAGTCGAAAACCCGGAATGCACTTTGAGCCCTTTCGCATGTGTAATTAATTAATATTTTCATTGTCTTTAATGTTTTTGTAATTTATTCTATGTTAACATTCATAAATAAAAAAAAAATCCAGTCAAGTACTAGTCTTGTCCTATTCCACTACACATCCCTGCTATGGCGTATTTTGCAAATGTACGAGTTACTTCCCTTGAAATTGACTTTTGAATCGCTAAGAATTATTTTGTCGATTTCCTAACAAAATAAATAATAAATTAAGAATGAAACTTTACCACAACCTGTTTATTGCATATACCAAAGGAAAAAAACAGTTATTTGCTGAAAATAATTCTTATATTTTGCTATGGCGTGAAAAAACACGTATGGCGCAAATTAGTGTAAAAGTGCTTCGTAATCAAGATCGATTTTCTAACAAAGTACACATTTTTTTTTAAATGATACTTTACCGAAACATGTTAAATGAGTATACCAATGGAAAAATCGAAATATTTCGTGGATATAATTCTTACATTTAGCTATGGCGTGCAAAAACTCCTATGGCGTACCTATGGCGCTAAATCTCCTATGGCGCAAATTAGTGTGATCGGTTTTTCTGTTTTTAGAATGTAACATTTTCGGGTATAAATCCTGGCGGACCTACAAAGGTTTATGCAGGCATGTATTCGGAGATCAGTTTAGGAAAAATCGTACCAATTGAGATAACTATACCTGTATAAATATAATAGTTATATCAGGGACTTATATAGCAATCTAATTCCGTGGTTATATTAATTGATAACGTTACGTATATAGAGGATCTTACATGAGTGTCCATGTCATATTGAATTTATTAAACAATTTAAATAATTTGATATGACACCTGTGAGATGCGTGCGCATTTCACCAGTCATTCTTTAAAGCATTTGAGTGAACACTTAATTCTGTCTTCACTTTAGACAGGTACTCCGGGATCCCATGAGAGGTTAAAAGACATGTACAATGTTCACGAAAACAAAAAAGACATGACCACTCAGTCATAATAATATGAAAGTGTATTAATGAACTTGTCAACAAACTACAGCATTACACGTTACATAGTAGTTATATAATACTTAAGGCGTATACCTATGTCCTGTCCTACATAGGAAACTAAGTCAACGCCTCTAGTACAATAAACATATCAATAAATGTTATCAAGACATTTAGCCATGTCCATTACTGTTAGTCCAGCTCACCACACACTAAACAGGCCATCCAGAAGTGTCCCCCAATAACTCTGTAATTGAAACACCCTTTTAAGAAACCTTTTGATATACACATTATTGCCGCAGGGTTGTCCATCTATTTGCTTTGGATGAATTGCCTGAAAGGCGACATGCCATCAGTCTTGTGTTTGGAAGGCTGGTAGTTGTAAGGTGTGGGTGGCTGAGGGTGCTCTTCTCCCTGGGTAAAAAAAACCCACAATCAATTAAACATTTAGCTATTTGTGGAAAGCAGGATTGTGTGGTCCAATATGGTGCTATGAAAATAGCTTCTGTTTGGTCTACCAAAATCTTTTGTATGATTTTCCAATAAGAGAAAATGGTGGTGGGAACATGTACATAATTTCGCCTGAATGCCAGTGAAGAGAGAAAGCATCTACTGCGAAAGCAAATGGATCTGGCTTCCATGATACATATTTTTCAATCTAGAGGCAAACAGATCATGATGTGGCATCCCTAAAAGTTCTGTGAGTTTGGTAAACAGTTGTGGATTCAGTTTCCATTCTGTATTGTCATGCTTTCAGCATCAGCTTCTATATTGTCACAACCTGGGATGTGTGCGTCAGACAGCCAGATATTCTTAATCTTGGACCAAGCCGACATTTCTTTAGCCAGACTGTCACATTTCATAGTTTTACCACCCATGTGCGACACATAAGCTATGGCCGTGGTATTATCCATATTCAGGGTCATATCAAATTATTGAACGAGTTTAATAAATTAAATTCAATATGACATCGACACTCATATAAGATTCTATTTATGACATAACAATCACAATTTGAAAACATCTTCAAACACAGCTAACTAATTAGTTGTGTTTGAAGATTGTTTCAAATTGTGATTGTTATGTAATAAATAGAATATTACAATTCGGGTGGGGGGAACATTACTTTCACTGAGTTTTTGAACGAGATATTTCCGAGCACTGTGATTTGACAGATGTATTTCAGTTTCGATTCAAGGCAAGAAAATCGAGGTGCATGATAATAAGGAAGGACGACTGACACAACAGTTCAAGCTGAAAGTACAAGGAGAAGAGATCCCATCAATTGCAGACAACCCAATCAAGTGACTAGGAAAGTGGTTTGATGTATCACTGAAAGATACAAGCAACATCAGCAGGATGCAGAAGCAGGCAATTGAGTGGATGATAAAGATTGACAAGTCAGGTCTGCCAGGCAATTTCAAGGCATGGATCTTCCAACATGGACTGCTGCCGAGACTCATGTGGTCCCTGATGTTATATGAGGTACATTTGACAACAGTGGAAGGACTGGAAAGATCCATCAGCAGCTACATGCGGAGGTGGCTTGGAGTCCCGCCCAGTTTCTCAAGCATTGGGCTATACAGCCGGACATTATCACTGCAACTCCCACTGTCATTGATGGTGGAGGAGTTCAAGGTAATAAAGGCCAGACTAGTGATGACGCTACAAGATTCAAAGTACGAGAAGAAATCCAGACTAGGACAAGAAGGACATGGTCTGCAAGCCAGTCTGTGGAGCAGGCCGAGGGAGCTCTCAAGCACCGGGACATCGTCGGATCAACCTGCTCAGGACGACAAGGTATGGCGACAACCCATTTCCAGACGTGGGAAGGAACAGACGATAAGGAGAAAAGATCTCTGGTACAGGGGGAAATGCGCAGAGAAGAAGAAAGGACCAGGAAAGCAAGGGCAGTGAAAATGGTCTCTCAAGGAGCATGGATGAGATGGAAGCTGACGGAGCGGAAACTCACATGGACAGACCTGTGGCGCTATGAACCATTGATGATCCAGTTCCTGTTGCGGTCGGTATACAACACTTTACCGNTCAACCTGCTCAGGACGACAAGGTATGGCGACAACCCATTTCCAGACGTGGGAAGGAACAGACGATAAGGAGAAAAGATCTCTGGTACAGGGGGAAATGCGCAGAGAAGAAGAAAGGACCAGGAAAGCAAGGGCAGTGAAAATGGTCTCTCAAGGAGCATGGATGAGATGGAAGCTGACGGAGCGGAAACTCACATGGACAGACCTGTGGCGCTATGAACCATTGATGATCCAGTTCCTGTTGCGGTCGGTATACAACACTTTACCGTCTCCAGTAAACCTTCATCTGTGGGGACTAGTAGACGAGCCAAAGTGCCTGCTATGTCAAGAACGTGGGACCATGGGCCATACTATTTCAGCATGCAAGACAGCGCTGATACAGGGACGATACCGATGGATGCATGAGCAGGTGCTTCGGGAATTGGTAGATGTTCTTGAGGTGGAAAGGAAGAAGAAGAGACCACGTCGTAAGCACAATTCATCCTCCATCCGGTTTGTAAAAGCAAGGGAAAAGGAGACGAAAGCAACATCAGGCAACACTGGCATTCTGTAAATGGAAAAGACATGGGAGATGAGAGTCGACCTGGGGAAGAAATTGGTGTTCCCGAACGTCGTACAGACAGCGTCACGTCCGGATGTGGTGATATGGTCTGCCGAATCCAGGCAGATTATAGTCATCGAGCTGACTGTACCATGGGAGGAGCAGGCCAATGAGAGAAAGAGAGCCAAGTATACGGAGCTCATGGAACAATGTAGGGAGCGAGGATGGCGTACTTGTCTGTTTCTTGTGGAGGTCGGATGCAGAGGTTTCCCGGCATGCTCAGTCTGGAAGACATTGCAGGCTGTGTGAGTGGTCGGAAAGATACGCAAGACGGCAGTGCGCAGACTAGCAGAGGCTGCCGAGCGCGCATCATGCTGGTTGTGGAACAGACGGGAGGTAAACGACTGGAAGCCACCCATTGACGGGTAGTGAATTGATCGCCACTGTCGACCCACCAGCACGGGGACGTTCCGGGAGAGGGGTTGAAACGACTAGAGACTGATTGACCTGGCTGATGATGTCAATGGATTCGCAGTTTTCCACCAACTGTATAGGTAATATCCTTTGCAGTACCTGTTCCTTTGTTGTCAATTGTAACAGTGTCGCCAATGTTTATCTGGTCAGCCCTCTTTTACTACGGTGAAGTAAATAAAAGTAGTGCCTGTAGTGGCGCAGGAATATGTTCCCACGGTTTTGACCAATCACAGCACCTTTAGGTTTTATTACACGTGTGTAATGACATAGTCAAATGGGTCAGTTATGTGATAAATTAGTTTTCATGTTTTTATGTAGTGTCGACGTCGATGTAAGCTGATTCAGCTTCTGGGGACGCATCCTGGTACTGTTCTATAATTGTGTCCGGTTATTACAATATACGTCTCTGATATTTGATATATCATTTACAAAAATCCAAGCGAAGATGATGGCGGAATGAACCACTATGAAATTCGTTTCTTGTTTGGTAGGGACCTCATATAAAGTCTCTCACCCTGAAACGATATGTACATTTTAATCGAAAGTGCAATGGGTTATTTTCTACCGAGTATATGATTTTTCATTGTGGTAGAGTGAACAAGAACGAATTAAGGGAAGTTATTAAATATAAAGAATGAAAAAATGTATCAGTGTGTATGACACCAAGATATTTTATTTTTGAAAAAAAACCACCCAAAAACCCACCAAATGTGTTGAATATCTCAATATTGTTCTTAATCTTTGAAATAACACTGTAAGGATTTTACCTTGATTTATAAGATACTGATATAGGTATCAGTATTAGAAGCCAGATTCATCAATTAAATGAGTTTCAGAGTCACAATCGCCCTCATCATCATCTCAAACGTCACGATATACTAACTGCAGAAAGCGCG